TGGGCGGCGAGATAGTTTAGACTCCTTGTACTTTTATTTGGTGTCTTTGAAACATGCCTCGAATATTTTTCCCGAACCGACGAGACGACGTCACTTGCGGAACTTGTGCTTTCTTACACAAGTTCAAAACTAAAACATAATTCGTAACTTAATCAAGAATATAGAAAAATTAATTTGAAACTTAATTTTGAAATTTAGTCTACTCTGTAGTTGGAAAAATGTTTTTTGCACATTCTAATTAATATATTTGGATCATTATCATCATCATCATCATCATCATCATCTTAAAAATTGAACTATAAAACAGTAAATTCTGAAAAATATCAGTAATTTAATTTTTTTTTACATTTATTTTGCGACGATGTTATTAAAGGTGTATCAATACCGAAATTTCCCTTTGGCGTGATCATATCTGCGATCTAGTCTTGAAATTTACATACAGTGAAGGAAACTTGGGGGTGTTGTATTCTCCTCTGAATACAGAATTCCCTCAAGAGATTTCCAAGGATATCCATCTCGCAGACTCTCAAATGCGAAGCGCCGGTTCCTCATTCCTTATACGGCAGTTTCGTCACATTATCTTTTTTTATTCATTCTAAAGAAAACTTTAAGCACTTGAGTTATATTATCATGAACAAAATAGAGCGATGAATAACTTTCTCCAAAAACTATATCCTTCCAAAAGTCTATTTCAATGTCTTACAACTTTACAAGTACTCTTATACGTATTCATTTCTATTTATATTTCATCTCGACTCACTTTTTTACTTCTTTGAGGCAAAAGAAAGAAAAATTGATGACAATTGTAGCGTAGAAATATTAAATTTTTTAAATTGTAACATATTTAAAGTTTCGATTTTTAGAAACGCGGTTCTCTTAATTCCTTTGTTTTTCTATTTTTTACGGGGTGAGAGTTTGTGCATATTCATTATAGTAGATTATCCGTTTGAAAAGTTGGACTTTGCTTTTTCTATAGCAACAGTTTCCGTTGCATGTCTTGACTCGAACGTCATTAAAAGTTCTATTGTAATTAGATTATCCCAAGCAAACTTCGACGTTAAGTTCAATCGTGCGAAGTGGCTGTTTAAGTTCCTTTACAACGGCAGTTGTCGGTTGAACACTCTCTGAAGAATGATTCAAAATATTCCCCTCAAATCGCAAGTGTCAAAATATAATTTACAACTTTCTTCTTCCCCTTCTTTGAAAAGAGTTTAAAATTTTGAAAATAAGCCACTAGGTACTATGTATTTCCATTTCGCAGATCTGGATTGTAGAGAAAATAATTATTCACTGTTTTGGAATATTAAACATTAGTGATAATTCTGTGGGTAAATTACTCACGGAAAGTTTACTTTCTAAATCCTATAGCCCATTGGGAACTATTATACTGTTTATGCACCTGAGGGCGAGACATTTGCATAAACACTATAATGGCGTTCCAATGATTTCATCTATCCTGGAACTATGTAAGGGCAAGTTGGGATGTGCATAAATTTATTTTCTCAAGTCAAGTTATTAGAATTTGCATTCTATTCATCTGAAGAAATAAAAGAGATGTTATGGAAGGAAACTAAAAGCGAGACAACCCTTTTAAAACCTTTCTGAGAAAAGAAAAAACAAAAAGATTGGTATTAAATGCAAGCGAATAAAAAATTTCCTCTCCAAATTGTCTTTTAATCTAGAAATATGAATATTTATAATTATTATATTTATTACGACTACTTTTGTTGTGATGAGAGAGGGATTATTTCGGTACACAGAAAATCGTAAATTCGAAATGTCAAGAGCTTTTCATTGAGATAAGTATCAGTAAGGAAGTCAGAAACAGGAGCTTTATTTTATATTTATATCGATAAACTATGAAAGAGATACAAGCGTAAAATTTGCATATCACGGAAATGTTTATTTCAGTTATTGTTGGTCTTTCCGTTTTTTCCGTTACTTGTATAATTTATCCCATGAAATTCATATAAAGAGGAAATATCTAGCAACTAAAATGTTTTATACTTTTCAACAAAAACAACAAACATTATCGCTATTTTGAGTTGATAATAAATATTTTTTTCTTTTCAAATATATTATCAATTTAATTATTATTGTTATTATTAAACAAGTAAGTAAATAATTAATTAGTTGAATTTAATTAGACATTTAATTTTAAAACAAAATATTATTGTTAAATTCCGCCCGTTAGAAGCAATTTATTGTGTAATGTTTATATATATATATGACCAATATACATATAATTAATATATATTCCGTAGAACAATGCAGTAGCATTGTTAGTTGTTTTAATTATAAAGCAGTATAGCTTTATGATTAAAACAACTAACATTGGTTATTTAGTTATACTTGCTTTTTGAAATCCTTGCTTTTGAATCTATAAATTTCAATTCACATAATTAAATAAATCAAAGGTTGTAAATTGTAATGAAAAAATATGTAATAATTTTAAATAAATACATAAATTAAAATTTTAATCAATAAAATGGCGACTTAGAAAGCAATCTATCAAACGTCTAATTATAATTACACCGGAAAGAAAGATTAATTATTTAGTTTAAATAAAATATTTCTATAACTATTGTAAATATTATTGACACTTTTAACATCTCAATGACTACTTTAAAATGTTGTCATTGTCCTACGAGTGTAATGAATGAAAATAGTAAATATTCTAATTGGCACTCAAGTAATGAATAGCCAGGGTGGCCACATGTCAGTAAAGTCAGTAAAGTCAGGGAAATGTCAGGAAAAAAATTTTTGTCAGGGAAATTAAGAAAATTGGTAATTTTTTCGACTTTTCTTCCAAACATTTCAAGTATTTATTTACAATTTTTAAAAATCAATTTTTGAAGAATTTTAATTGCAAATTTTGAAAATAATTGAAATATCAAAAATTTTAATGAAAAATCTTTAAAGGTAAATTTAAAAATGAAAGTTAATGAAAATTAGCTTCTAATTTTTTATAATTCAATGTTTTCAGTATTTTCATTTACATAATTCCAAAAATTCAAATACATTACATATACAAAAATAATAACATTTTAGAATTCTTTTTAACATTTTGGAGAATAAAATCAAGTTCAAAATTTTTAATTAAAAAAAAAAAAAATTAATTAGTTTTTTAAATTATACAACATTTTTTTTTAAGGAATTCAATTATTTTCGAAAAATTACATTAAAACTTTTTTTAAAAACTAATTCTTAGAATTGCTTTATAATAATTTTTTAAGATTCAATTATCTTCGAACAATGTAAATAAAAATTTATGAAAATTTACTTTTTGGAGTTATTAAAATTTTTGAGAAATCATGGTCCTGTTTATAATTAAAATTCTTCAAAAATTTGATAATTTTTATTTATATTTTTCAAAAATTCAATTATTTTTAAAAGATTTAACTAAATTTTAATTGTTTGGAAATTATTGAAAATTGAAAAACTATTATATTTATGTATATAATTACAATTATTATAAAAAATTTAATTTTTGTATTTAAATAATTGAATTCTAGAAGAAATTTTCGGAAATTATTTAAATTAATTGCTTCAGAGATGAAGTTTAGTTGAAAATTGTAAAAAATAATTGATTTCAGGAAGGGTTATAATTGTAATTTTTAGAAATTATTCAAATTCATAAATTTGACCCATTTTCCGTAAACATTCATATTTTCCTTTAAAACGAATTTTGTCAGGAAAAGTAATTTTAATGTCAGTAAATTGTCAGGAAAATGTCAGGGAAATTGATAAACTGAAACTTGTGGCAATGATTTCATTAAATTTAGACCTTTAATATTTGCAATAATTAATTATCTTTAAATTCTCGGTATTCGATTCAACTTGTAGATATTTAATTTTGATAAATGTCATTATTCAATGTTCTTAATCATTAATGTAGAAAAATTTTTAAATAATTAAATTTATATTAAATAGTAATTTAATCAAAATTTGAATTAATTAATTTAAATTTAAAATTGATCTGATGTTTTAAAATCTAATTTATTAGTACTGTCTAGTGATGCATCAAATTTTAATAATTTAAATATTTTTTTACCTTTTCTTTGATGTAAATTAGCCTAATGCTGCTTTCAGAATTATTATCATAATTGGTCATCTGTTAATGCAGTACGGTTAGTTATTAATGCAATTATCAGTATTGTTACCATATTTACACATCTATCATTGTTACCTAAAGACCCTACTTAATTGGACATAAAATATTGATACTTAACGCTGCCATCTAATGATAGCACTTACCGCTGATGCGAAATTCTAATACATAATGTCACCCCCTTAATGCAACTCTGAAAAGCCGACAGATAACGTTACACTGTATTTTATTATCGAAAGTAAATGCCCCTTTACATCAGTATCTTTAGCGTAAATTACATTTACACATTCCATTTCAGGAATTGTAAATTTCCATCAAGGGTGTTAAAATACATCTCTCAATGTCTGTATCTTCATATTTCGCATATTCCACAACGGATGGATAATAATAATAATAATAATAATAATATACCATTTCCTTGCTAAACACGAGAAAGAATTACACAAAGATAAAAGGATTTTTCTCTATTTATACTGTGTAACAAGAACTGAAGACAAATCTCAGGTTGATTACTTTATTATTAATAGGATCATGTCACATGACACTAACGGAAAGAGGGTAATTTGAAAAATTTTCTTGCAACTAATAAAGTAAAATTGTTTTTGTTTGGTATTAGCTCCTTTTCGCTCACGAACCTGCGAGTGTTTAACTGTACAAATAAAACATTAAGCTACATAAATTAGATGTCTTTCCTTTTTTTGGATCTTTTTTTCTCGTCTCATGTAGAAAATCTACTACAACAGATACCTGGATTAAAGTCCAAGGTTATGGGGCTGTTGTTCTGGTCGTTCCGCTAAAAACTACTTCTGCCTTTTACTAGACTAATCTCGACTAATCTTGCGGAAATGCCTTTCGAATTGAAATTGCGTGACGCGAAAATGGATATTACCTTCATTCTTATTGTTGCCGATAAGAATTTCCGTCTCCTTGAAATCCGACTCCTTGAGCAATTCGAGAGGATCCTTAGGCAGGAGTTCGCCGTCAATGGTCGGGGCCGATGGGAAACCGAGTAATCCCCAATAGCTGTTCCACTGCTGCACGGAAATAGTTTTCGCATCCACGTACCGCATACACGTCATCACATGTGCCGGGTTCTCCACCAACAGCGACGAATTGCAGCCACAGTCCTCGACGAGGATCTTGGCCACCTCGTCCGCCTTCTCGGCCGTCATGTAGCTCCAGGGCGCATTCAGGGTCCCGCTCTGCAGAATGCCCCTTCGCACCAGTCCCTTCGTGGCCGGAGATATCAGGTGCAGCGACACAGAGCCGCCGCCGGCAGACTCGCCGAAAATCGTGATGAGGTCGGGGTTCCCGCCGAAAGACGCCGCGTTGTCCTTGAGCCACTGGAGCGCCATGATCTGGTCCCAGAGACCCATGTTGCCCGGCGCTTCCTGGCTGTCGGGGAAGTGCTGGTTGAGGTACAGGAAGCCGAAGGCCCCGACCCGGTACTGCATCGAGGCGACGATGGTGTTGCTGCTGGCGGCCATGATGTCCGCCTCGTAGACGTCCAGAGTGGCCGTGCCGCTCATGTAGCCGCCGCCGTAGATCCAGACGAGGATGGGCGCGCCCTTCTTGTCCGTGCCCACCGGCGGGTCCTTGCCCTGGTGCCTCAGGCGCACCCGCTGCGGCACCCAGATGTTCAGGTAGAGGCAGTCCTCCGAGATGTTGGTGTTCGGGTTCCACATCGCCTCGCCCTCGAAGCCAGGGAAGTACTCGTACTTCTCCTGGAAGCAGCAGTTGGGCAGAGTCGTCGCGTCCAGCACGCCGTGCCACGGGTCGACCGGCTGCGGCTTGCGGAACCGCAGCGGCCCAACGGGCGGCTTCGCGAAGGGCACCCCGTAGAAGACGTGCACCTCGTGGCTGTCGAGGACGGTGCGCGAGAAGCCCCTAATGAGGCCACTGGTGGTCTGCACCACCAGCGGGTCCGGATGCTGCGACTCCCGCGACTGCGAGTTGGTCTGCGAGGGGTGGAACAGACCCAGCAACAGGGCCACGAGCATCGAGGCCACCGCCATTCTGGACAACGCTGGGCCTGCTGCCCAGGTTGGTGGCCGTGGCTGCCGCGAATCAACAAGTCTGCTGCGAATGCTCCCGGAATCAGCTGCGAGCTCAAAGGTCTTCTCGATTTTTCCCTCCCTCTTGATTGACGTTAATTTCTATTGAAGCCGCTTTGTTGCTGTCTATTTGTCAGTACATCGCGCGTATTTGTTATCAAACAAAATGACAATTACACTCGGATTTGCAAGTTTGCTTCGTACACTGCTCTATTTGCCAAGAACCAATCGCTTCGATAAGCTCATAACTTTTTGGAGTCATCTATTCTCCAAGTTGTAGCAAATCGGAAATACTTCTGATTGAATCCGGTTTGGGAAAAAGTGTTTGGTAAACAGTCGCATAGGTTTGGAGAATAATCTTCGACACTTGTTCACTCTCTGGGTTCACCTGTCTTGACACTAAACACGCGCACACTGAAAAGGTCCCCGAGATAGGATCTACCCTCTAGAGTCGATAACTCTCCGACATGTTGACATTTATCTTCAAGGGGTTCTATTCCTTAATCAGACTTTTCGTCTTTATCTTTGGTAATGTGACTTTCGTCCTCTGCGCCTCTTATCTAAGAGTCATTTCGACTTTATCTAGTGTCTTTGCTGTTTTCTTCTTTCACAATGGGCCACAATGGGCCACAATGGGCTGATTAGTTGCTTCACTGCTTTTCTTTTTGCACAGAGTATCCTCATGAATGAAGACTCAGGTCAAAGGATTCGAACAAGAAGACGCGGCGGCCGGCGTGCCGCGATGCACGGGGTCGACTGATCTGACAGTAGTCGGAGGTGGTGCGAGGCACCGGAGGCAGCAACGGTGGCGGCGGTCGAGTTCCTGGTGGTGGTAATTGTGACGCGAAGGTGGCGCACGCCTCGTGCGGTATCCTATGATCCTTCCTCAAGATCTACACCCTTTCATGCCACGTGAATCACACTCGAGTGCCTACCAGCGGAGAAAAAATCCTAACGCACTTCCGTTGTGCGCTTCCATAAGCAGTCTTCGGAGCAACCTTCAAGAGAGTCTGTCCTGGAGAAGTAGAATGTTAGGTTATGTTTAGCTGATTCATATCAGTCTTGAACCAATAACGCATGAATTAAAATTAGTAAACCGCAATTTATTATTTTCACATGAGCGACTGAAAAGAACAGACTTTTTCTGCTTCTCACCTGTTTTATCTCATGTTGTTTATTAAAGAAATAAAATAAATTTTTTAAATTCATAAATAAATTAAAATTGTTTCATTAAATTGAATTAAATTGAAATGAACTTCATAAAAAAAAGATATTACACATGGAAGTAAAAATAAAACTTTTTATATTTCCCTTAAAATTTAGTGTATATTCATTAAATAAAATAATTAGGTAAGTTGGTGAGTTGGTGAGTACTAAAATTTGATTATCGATTACAAAATCAACTCTCAATTAGATGACGTAAATTTTAATTTAATTAAAAAATGACCGCTTTTATAAGCATTAAAAATAATGTTAACATTGTATGGTTATTACTTATTTTTTAAATTTACGAACACGAGTACGTTTCGTACGTTTATAGCCCTTTTATAGAGTATACTAGTCATAAACATACAGAAATATAGACTAATATAGAAATTAAAAACTAAAGTTTGAATATAGAACTTGGAGACTAAATTTTAAAGAGTAAGTGAAGACTGAATCGATTTAAAAAAAACTCTTGAAAAAAAATGTATATAGTAAATGTTCTTCTTTTGTTGTTGAACCATTCCTTAGAAATGTTAAAAGACTTTTTTTCTTATCGCGAAGCAGACCGTATATTTTTGTAATAAGCCTGCTTCCATCAGGGAATTGGTGACATAAAAAAAGTGTAATGAAAATGTAAAATTTTATTGTAGAATAAAGACTTAAATGTCGTATTGGGTTTTAAAGGAGCTCTTTTAAATGCAGTTTACAAACTGCATTTTATTTACATAAAATTCGACCTATCAATAATATACACATAGTACTATAACTTTGTGCATTGTGAAGAAATTATTAGATTAATACAAGTATAATTATTAGTTTAGAACCAATTTTGATACTAAACGTTTGATTTTATGAAAAATTTCAATTTCTTCAGTTAGTCTGTTTTTGCATGTTGTCAGTATAAGTAGATTTTGCAGAGTTTCTTTTTTCTTCGATTCATTAACACCTCCTAGAAATTGTGAATTATATTCTCAAGAACATGCATGTTGGATCCTTAGAAAAACTGTAAAAAAAATTGCAAATTCCAAACGTAAAAAAAATAATGAAAGAGCAGAAATTCTGCTCGTGAAAAGCAGAGAAACAAAAAGAAATGGTGAAAAATCTTTTCTCGGAAAAATTACGATCGAATATTATCAGTTTTCCTTTATACTGATCGAGAGGAGGCCATCCTGATATAAATTTATGGCAAAAGTTTCAAGTCCAGGGCTTTTTGCACGTATAAAGAAATGGTGATTCTCGACCTTTCGGATCTTTTTATACTGACCCTAAGGGATTTTCCTTGGATCAAGATGATAGCCATAGTCCATCTGCGAAAGTTCCTCTACAAGACCCACTTGTTTAGTGGAAATTTCAAAAGCTAGAATAATTTCTGCCCCATTTCACTTGAAAATTACGTTTGTTTTCTTTCCTTTTCTCTTTATTCTTTTTTTAAGGCAGAGAGTTTTAAAGACGCGCAGTTTACTTTATTCCCCCTTTTACCAGCGAAGGGTCAATTTCAATGCTTTTTTTCGTTCTTCTTCGTTCTTCATGATGAGCCCGCAGTTCAAGGAAAGTGAATTGCCTCTTAATTTGACGTCAAGCACCAAGTTAAAGCTTTTCAGCTATTTCCGCTTGGATTTTATTGATTAGCTAGAAAAAGAAAAATAGAATAATTCCTTTTAACGAATAGAAATTAAAATTCTTATTCCAGGAGAAAAATATAAAATTTACTAATTTAACCTAATTTTTGAAATATGAATTAGATATTTGTATAATTTTAATTTAATGGTTCTATAAAGTTGCGAAACATAACATTTTCGTTATGTCATTTTCCCAACATCAGTCTCATTAAATAATTTGAGAAAATTAGTCATAATTTCCATCCAAGAAACTAATAAGGCTAGAGTATTAAATATTCAAACAAGTATTCATTAAGGAAATTGGATTATTAATGAGAATTTAATTAATGTTCGGGGTAATAAAACTAATATTAAAAGAATAGTCTCATTCGCTTACTGAAATGTGTATAAAATGGTTTAAATGGACTTTGTATAATACTATTAGATTATATTATTTGACGAAAGTTGTTGTTAATTACGAAAAGATGAGACGCGAATAGTTTTGTTGATGACGTAAACAATGACCTGAATGTCGACCTCGGGGTTATTTTCGCAATTACCTCTTTTTTTTCTCTTAGCCGGAGTTCTTTTTCGCGTTAAAACTTAAGGACGTCTCATCTGTACTTCAACAACTCTACTGCCGAAGGGGATGTTCCCAAAAACCTGGCTTTTCAATTCTTAAATTTTCTTCTTTTTCAAACTCTTCTTTAGTCGGAAAAATGGAAGAATGGAAAAATGACCAATTTTTTGTATAATATTTTTTATTAATTAAATTTACTTGCTAAAATTTGAGGGTAGTACTTTGTATTTTTGAGAATGTGTTGTTGTGCGATTCGAAGATGTTTGCGAAGAGCATGAGAAGCGTAATTGTCGAGAGGAGTGAGTACTTTATTGTTTCTCAACGTTAGTCTCGAGTGTTTGCCGCATGACCTTTAAACGGATTATATTGGATCAACAAAATGATGACTCCATTTCATAACAAGATGCAGGACGGTTCAGCTTGTAATCAGAGTAACTCACATTACAAATGGGCAGCCGCGCAATTGTACAGCGGAAGAGTCTCGTTAGCCCCGTCAGGTCCACATCGAGCAATAGCTCGATGTGATTTCGTTAGACCGACGCGACTCGACGCGACGCTACAGCGAAATAATATTTATGAATTTAAATCAATCGAGATTGATTTACAAGGAAACAGGTTTACGAAGAAAGGCGCACTCCTCTAATTAGATAATTATTCCGTTTCCCATATGCAGACTGTCGTGAATAAAAACCGATGCGTCAATTTCAATGCATTTGAATGCAGATTTTTTCCTAATCTGATTTTCGAGGTCGAGAGTGCATTGATTTACAAGAAACCTGTGATCTCTGCTCCTTGGTCGTGTATATATTCCCGGCTGGGGAAAAATGGGAGTGGGATAAAAAAAAGTTACGAGCCGTTCTTATACTGGGACGACCTGCAGGAGCTGGGACGTAGTCTGCCAGCAGGTGGCAGGTTCGCTGCGTATCGATTTCTTACGAATCTAGCCCCGGATTCTGCTTGAAATCCTCTATATACTGCCATATACTCACACCCACCTGCATAAAGAGAGAGTTCCAACCTGTTCCAACTTGTGAAAACGTGTCATCGATCCTGTAACGGTGCGACAATTCCTCTTTTCGCAAAAATCTTTTCTTAAATAAAATGAGCACTGCTCTGACCTTCAAATTCTCCCCCTCATAGCTCCAGAAAAAATTTACTCTTTTCATTCAGTCACTGATATATTATTTTAGCCATTTCATTGCGATAGGTACCGATAAGAAGTCATTTGTATTCTTTTGCATTCTTTTGGAAAGCCTCCGGGGAAAATGGAGTTTGGATTTTTTTCACAAAAGTAATTTTTTTCCGATTTGCATATATTTCTATTCAAATTTAATTGTCTCTTGTTACAGTCTCTGCAAATGATATTCTTATAATGATGATCGTTAAAATGTAAATTCAAATGAGCAGTATTTTATTCAGATGTATATTATTATCAAATTTTCTGTCCGTACTTTCATTAGTTTATTTTGACGATTTGACGAATATCAAAATATGTATTTCTAGAATATATAGTGAATATAAAGTGAACTGGGACTTCATTAATTAAAGGGTCAAATAGAAGACAGTTCTTCTTATAATTCGAGAAAAATGTCAATTTCACGAATGTGAATTACATAAATATAAAAGTAAAACTTTATTTCTCGGCATTTGGAAATAAATCAATATCTTGAATGATTGAAATTCTGAGTAATTTAAAAATGGCGTGAAATCGTTTGATTTAATACACGAATGCATCTCCAAAAGTCTGTTTAACCTCAAAGACGACTGTTCAGTGATTTAATCCACATGAATGTTTGTACGTGCTCCTCTCTCGAGCAAAACGGAAATTACCTAGATTTCGTAAACTCGCGGTGTGATCGAATTATATCACACTGGAAATTACATTACTAATCAGCCGATTTAATATTGCTATTAAAATAATATTAAATTCATTTGTTTTCGTTAGCATCAGCATTGTCACAAATCGACATTCAATGTACATTCGTATACATTTAATGGGCTCCAGGTGCGTCAGGCATTAAAAGATATTTTTCTGGCAAATACTTACTTTTAGGTTAGAAGGCCCGATCTTGAAAAATGTACCTTTACCAACGGACGATAAAAATAAACAGCGCCACCGCACCCTACTATGTCAGGTAGTTTAAATTTACAGTATTTAATACTTTGATTTCGAGCACAACATTTTAATAATTTACTTCAGTAAAATAATAATAATGAATACTATTAGTATAATCCTACATCAATGATATTTATATAACAATTGCTGGTTGGAATATGGAATAAATTTGAAAACAGTGTGAATAACGAGTTATTGTAACTGCATCTTTCATGACTGGAATTTATAATCTAAAAGTTTACTTGCTCCCATTAACAACGTTTGTTGGTAAATAAATTATTAATAAAAGTGCTTCCCCGTAATAATAAAAATTTCAAATAAGAGAAAAATTGAAAAGGTTGGAAAATAGTTTTAATTAATGTGAAGAACGTCGATCTCGATCGCCGAAGAAAAACATTCGAGGAACGTAAAACGTAAAACGCTCATTGAGGCCAATAAAATATCGATCTCCAGATGCAGACTTTATAAATAAACATCAAGGTCATCACGTTCAGATTATCGAGCA